TATATATATAACAATCAATGTAGATCCTGTCTCTCCAAAAAAAAAAAAAAGATGTATTTTCAAATTGAACAATTAGCAAATTTAATTGAAAAAAAGATGAAAATTATGATAACAAATATTTTATTCTTCAATCACCCATATATATCTCTGTATATATTAAGTACTTTACATTATTATATCACATATGATTGAATGATCGTACTTAAATATTATAAAAACAATTTGATATGTGTATGTACAATCATTCTAAGAGAATCTTTTTCTTCATTCATGGAGTTATAATTTTCTCCTTAATATCTCTTATCCAAGAACAGAGAGAGAGAATAACTCACAAATATTATTTCTTGATTCCGCTACAAGAAAATAATCGATCGGTGTAACTCGTACTGTAAAAAATTCATCTCTCGCAAAATATGTCCGTATATTTGCGAAATGTGTTCAACATTGTAAAATAATTACAACACACATCGACGTGTTATATTATTTCTTTTGTGAAACTCGTAAAGAGATTCAATGTAAGTTACATTAGTATTTTTCCATCACGTGAATGTAAAATCCAGGATTCTCTACCATTTCCATTGGTTTAAAATCAGCATATATTGTATGATTTGCTTTAAATCTAAATGCTTCTGCAAGCATTTCACTGAAAACTTTCAATCTGTGAGGATAATATGATAATCTAAATTCGTTAACATTATCCGAATTATTTTTATTTGATTTTCCATCAATGGTGATCATGTAATCCAAAGTAACGATAGCTGGTTTGCCTGATATATAAAGTACTGACGTTTTTATATCCGTCATATGTCGACTCTGAAAAAAAATGTATGTTATATTATTATAAATAATTTATTATCTTGTAAAAATAATGTATTATCGTGATACTTACATTGTAGTATATGCATTTCGATGGTGTGTTTCCGGTTTCTATAATATAATCGTAATTTCTGTGATCGATTAAAAACAATCCACCTGGTTTGACGCAACGTTCAAAATTAGCAAAGGCTTGTCTAGAAAGATAACGGTATAAAAGAGATTAGAAGATAATACACATAAACATTTATTTATTTATTTATTTACTTATTAAAAAATCATACTTTTGTTCTCTCTGATCGCCATATAAATCAGGCATGTGTGCAAAACTATTTCCAAGGCAAATAACAGCATCAAAACCGTCACCGATAAGATGACTGATATCTTTCGATAATGTCAACCAATTTGCTTCCTCAATCACTGAAAAATAAATTAATCAAAAAGTCAGAAGTGAAAGAAAATAAATATTCGTCATCGAAATAAAAATTAATATTATCAAAGATTTATTAACAATTATATAAAGAAATACACACACACACACACACAAAGTCAATGATGAAATAGAAGTATACGGATGATAACATATTGACCCTTTTCTAACACATCGATTTTAATATCATCCACTTAATAGATAAGAAAATATGATATTCATATAAATATTTTTGTCAATCAATATACAATGGTGGATAAATGCTATCTCACGGTACACGGTTCACAATAATTTTCATAACGAATTGAGAAGAAAAAAAAAAGTACAAAATTAATTGACCAATTATTATTATTCTTACCCCAATTATCAAAAGCTGGTTCCTTTCTTCTCTCCCATCTGGATTTGAGAGCATATTTGAGCATTTTATCAGAAGCATCAACACTAACGACTTCGAAACCTTCTTCAAGGAGCATTACGGAATCAACGCCTGTACCACAGGCAACATCTAAGATTCTCTTGCATCCTTTTTCTTTCAGAAGACCAACCAAAAAGTCTCGATAATTTTGTGTCCTTTGATTTTTATCGCCGATAAATATTTCCCATACTTTGGCAGCTTTTCCATCGGCATATTGGTCTTTTACACCTTCCGCTGGTGTACCGAACGAACGTGTTAAAAATACGGAATCGACCATTTTGATATTTTGCTTCTTGATATTATTTGAAAATCACTAAAGAAGAATAACAAAAAAGATTGTTTTATCTCGTCAAATTATTATTATTATTATTATTAATATTTCTTGTTTCTTTTAATCGTATATATTAACAACAACAAACATCATTTTACATTTACCACTCGTATTTTAAATGTACATAAAAAAAGTAACGAAATGTATTTACTTTTCTATTTATATTACTGTTTAGCGCAATGTGTTCATTTTTAAATTTAAATATCCCGCCCTTTGACTATCGATCATTAATTTAAATATCCCGCCTTTTGACTATCGATCATTAATTTAAAAATTTTACATTAAAATTGAGAAAAAATGTTAACTGATTAAAAAAAATTCATGTTTCTATTAATTAATGTTTCATTCTCTATAGAAATAATTTGAATCAAGTGTATTCAATAATAATATTTTTAAATACAATTAGTGATTTGATATCGTTAAACATTGGAATTACCCATATGTGTGTTGACGAAAGATTTTATTATCGTATTTAATTATCTAAAACAATTCGTTACTTGATCTCATTAAATATAAATATATATATAATTTCTTTTTTATATAAAATGTAAATTTCGTACCTATATACTTGCGTCAAATATTGTCTACTTGTAACACTTGTTCTATGTATTTATTATTATTACGAGAGAAGTAAGAAATATGAGATGACAATATGAAAACTTCACGAAATCTGATTGAAAACTGAAGAGTCAGTTGCTTACTTGACACTTATATATACTCTGACAAATTGACACTCTCTTACGAGTTGTCTAATAAACACGGTGGTAATCGAAGTTTCATCACAAGTGATGAATTTCAGTTAATCATCGTAATATGATGTAATATTTTCATTTTCTTACTAAATAGATCTGACTCGACACAATGTTTTCCTTTTTTTTTTTTTTAAATAAAAAATATGTTTTTTTTCCTGTTAACAGTAAATGCACACTTTCAAAATAACCATATATATATATTAAAATTATCTTGAAAATTATCAATTTTGGATATTAAATGTTCATCGTTAGCAAATGTTGTCAATAAATATAAAAATAAAAGAATAAAAGATGATAACAATGATTACTGCGAGTTATATATACGATAATTAAAAAATCATTAATAATTCATATATTATTTTGATAATTTATATTTTATTCTAACACAAATAGAGTCAAAATTATATATATATATATTTTTTTTTTTTCAAATAAATTAATTATACAATTAATATTACATTATAGATCAAAAACAAAACTATTTTACAGACATTATCAACGCAATATATCTACTTTTCTTATGAATGCCTCATATAAGGGAAGATATCTCTATATTTATGTTTGTACGTTTTAATCGAATAAAACGTATAATAAAGCAACATTATGATATTTCAATATTAAAAATATACTTAACAGTAAACTACGGAATACATTTACGAATTTATTTCTAAACTTTGTTTTTTGTTTTTGTTTTTTTCACAATACAGATGTTAAATTTCATTCAAGATCATAAATATATAAATACATTTGCAATTTACGTCTTTTTGAAAAATCATAGAAATTATTTGTTGAAAAATACAATATACAATTAAATATTACTATTAATTTGATAGAATAAGAATAATATATATATGTATCTGTGAATTAATGCTAAATGATGTTGGTATATTCACATATGAGCAAATAAAGCGCATGATGTGACGAAATAAATTCACTTGATACATATATATATATATATATATTTATACGTCTTGAGAATCCTATATGTTAATAACATTAACAATTTAAGTACAATTTTCTACTTCACTCTTTAATATATCTTTCATCCATGTTAAAGTTTTAAAGTCGTATGTGTGTGTGTGTGTGTGTGTTTAATTTTTTAATCTAATTATTCTTAGATTAACATAAAGTTCTATGTAAAAAGGACTTCTAGCTAGATAGTAGTATTTGCTTAGATAATAATCGATACAATCTCTCTCTCTAAATTGGCAGTTATTTTGTTGTTTAACATTTTTTTTTTTTTTTTTTTTTTTTTTATTTAAGAGATACAAAAATGTAACTAATTAAGTAACAAAAGCAACAAATGATCTCAATAATATATTATTTGATGTGACAATGATTTTATAAAAATGAAAAAAAAAAAGAAAAAAAAAGAAAATTAAAAATTGAATAGTATATTTTATTATATTTGTCAAAACGAAATTGTATTTTTCAATTGTAAATCTATTCGATTAGATTTTGTCTAGATTATAGAAATGTTGACAATTTTTCTATTTGTAAAATAGACGAGAAATTGACTATTTTTTTTTTATTTTTTTTTTTTTTATTATTATAACTTATTAAATTAAGTCACATTTTTTTTTCTTTTTTTGTCTGAAATTATTATTTTACTAAAATCATTATTAAATTATTTATTTAATAATGTACAGATTTCTGACGTATTTGTAATTCGTGACGTATGCGTTAAAAGTAATCAAAAGGTTTGCGATTTGATATGAATAATTAAGATATATCATTACAAATGAAATTTTACCACAAGCACATTCATGAATTATTAAGTATACACAAAAAATGTTTTTAGAGTGTGCATGAGATAATTTATCTATCTCTCTGTAAAACTGTGAAACAGTTCTTTTTTTTAAAAAACACTAGCAGAGGGTATTGTTTATATTTTCTTTTGGTTTTTTTTTCTTTTTTCTTTTTGAAACTATTTTTTAATATTGGATGAATCTTAAAACTATATATCACTCAATTGGTAGTTATTATTCTTTTTCTCTCTTTCTTCATGCTTATGTGCGATTTCTTGCAAACATTCGTACCCTCATATATTCTTCAAATCGTCAGGAAGGTCATTCTTAGGATGTTTGTTTTCAAAATGTTGCTTATACGTTTTTGGATCTGGCATTTGGGCCTAATAAAATAAAAATCAAAATATAATATTATTGAAGTAATTATACAGAGAGAGAGAGAGAGAGAGAGAACATAAGTACATGTATATATATTTAAATATTCTTACCTTACAAACTGAACACACGTGAACTAGTGCTTTTTGGGCTGCTTTTTTTTGTTCATTAGCACTATGCCCTTGTTGTTTCTTTACTTTAGCAGCTTTTTCTGCAGCTTTTGCTTGAGATTGTATTTTTTGTTGTCCTCGTGCCATTTTCTACATCAAAAAGATAAACTTATTACAAATGAATAAATAGAGAAAGAAAACAGATAATTGGAATTTATTTAAAGGAACAATAGACCTAAAAATATGTCTATCTAACTTCAAATACTGACTGAAAACTATTTTTATAATAAAAAACATATTTATATTTATTTATATATTCGATCCTATTACAAATTGTAATATATAACAAAAAAGATTTCATACATAAAAAAAAAAAAGAAAAAAAAGAACTTTCCTTTAAAATGTTATTTTATGACAAATCACTAACGAATGAAAAAATCACTTACCTGCCAGAACTAAAATGAACGTATTGAATATGTTCCTTTCTTCGTTTGATGAAGTTAAAATTATTCGTTTAAATGGAAATTTTGTTCAATTTTAAAAATTAAAGTTAAATTTTGATTAACAAAATCGAATAGAAAGAAGAATAATTATCAATCAAACAAAAAATTAAATTAATTCTTTTTAACAGATCTCTTAGAAAGTGTACACGTTTTTCCGATGGTCTCGTAGAAACGAGTAAGTATATGTATATACATACGCATACACTTTTACTTACACTAATGTAAATTAATCCAGAGAATCGTGAAACGCGGATGCGCTATAAAGTGTTAAGAAAGACCACGAAGAGAGACAATTCACGATCTCTTTCTCGATCTCTTTATTTATTTATTTTCTTTTTCTATTTCTTCTTCTTTTTTTTTTTTCTCTCTTTTGACCTTAATTTTCTTCTCTTTCCAATAACACTGTTAATTACTCTTCTCAATGTTACTATTATTATATTGGACGTTTTTGAAAGAAATTGTTAAGGTTGCAGGACAAAAATGATAATATATTTTCCTTAGTTTTTTTTAGCATGTAGTATTTCATTCAGCAACATACAATAAGATGCGTTCTATACTTGCTTCTGCGTAAAACCTATGTTAAAAAGCGACCAATCAAGAATGGATCAACCATTCGCATCTGAGGTCAATGAACTCTCTAATAATTCATTACTCTGAATAATTTGATAGAAAATTTGTTTGAATCTTTTAAAATGTTCATTTTTTGTTTCTTTTTGTTTTTTTATACAATTGGAAATTTTTCTTTTCCAATGCTATTATATGCAGTCATCTTTATCGTTAATTATTATGTATTACCCACTTACCTATGAATATACACTTTTTTTTAATAATTTCATCTAATAAGTCTTAGTACTTTATAGAAATTTCTATTCTTTTTTAATATATTATTATTTTTTGATAGAAGTTTTTTTAAATCATCTATTTATCGTAAATTGTCATTTTTGAATATTATTATATCCACCAATCAATGGTCTCGTTCTATTCTAATTCTCTTTTTGATTGGTTAATGAAAACCATTGAACATGCAACAATGTAATCAGTTATTCTAAATATATTTTTTTATATAAATATCTTTTTATATTTTCATATTAAATATAAATAAATTTGAACAAAATAATATATTTTAAAATTTTATTTAAAATATATTGTAAAAAATTAACTTATTTCATTTCTCGAAAGATGACAACCAATAGGAATGCAAGTATTTACTAATCAAAAAAGAAACTACGTTTCGTTTGGATACTTTGTACTTTTGTCAAAATGATCATATATTAGTATAATTCTAATCAACATTTATCTATAATAAAGTTACAAGATTAATTTTTCAATTAGTATTACTATATCCATTAGTTTATAGTAGTAAAGTTAATTATATTTTTTGGAAATTTTTTATCTCTAGTAAATAATAAAAATAAGCTTATTTGTCTAGTAAAATATGATGGTATAGATAAAATAAATACTTTTGAAAATACTTATATTATTAATAATCACGAATTGTGAATAATAAACAGTTATCGGTATAATGAATATTATTAAATAAGTTTTTCTAGTGTTTTCTATCGTGTGACGTCACATCAAATCGATGTAATCGTGCATTTCTTATCGTAACGTCGTAATCATCGGAGTATTCTATACGTGTGGAGATTTTACACAGTTATATTCGCATTAAATAATAAACAATTTTTTATTCGTAAATAAAAAGACAAAAAGTAAAGTAATAATATTTCGTCGATTTTACCAAAAGTAATATCGTATCAGATAATCTTCAGTGTATTTGTGAATACATCGAGAGATAGTGCCGCCATATTACTTTTAAGAACGCAGAACTGGATGTTTCCGAAGGAGACATGGCTGAAGAAAATCGTTTAGCTTGTGTAGTGAAATTCTGTGTAAACGTGCTTTAAGATACTTTTCGGTTAGAAAAGAGTGCACAATAAGCAAAGATGACTTCGATACACTTTGTCGTTCATCCTTTACCGGGAACTGATGATCAACTTAATGATAGGTGAATATTCCTTATGCTGTAGTGGATGTATCTACTTCTCCGAATGTCTGCTGACTATTCTATCATGGCATATTAATCCGTATTCGTTCGTTTTTTTATTCCTTAGCAAATTATATCCTAATCATTAAGTTTTCACGTTTTTTTTTTCATTTCTATAATCATTAATCGAATGAAAATGTTTCATCCTTATTTTTCTTTACAGATTTGCTCATTTTGAGTATCGAATTTTTTTAAACCTATTCATTATGAAGACATTAAAGAGAAATTGAACAATACGTTAATAAGCACCATTACTTATCTAATTTCTCGTTATCTCGTTTCGCTTCAATTTAATTTCATACTTTTCTTATTAAATGACTTACAATAATATAGTTTGACGTTGTCATTATTCATAATGGATTGCACTAAATTAGCACATATTTCGGAAAATTTCTAATACTTAATATATTTATGAAACATACATTCTTTATCATATTGATAATATATATTTTTATAAAAAAAAAAAAAACTAATGAATATTTTATTATCCTAATTTCTAATAATACTACTGACTAATTAATTATTCTAAAATATTTATTACATACATTAGGTTTATTCACATGAAATTATCATATAGTGCTCACATTTACAATTTAATTGATTATTTTTCTTAATTAGTTAAAATCATAAAAAGGTTATATAAAATTAAAGTGTATATATATCATACAGTTATACACTCATTTTATATTAATTTCAATGATTATTTTTTATTTAAGGCTTAAGGAAGTTGCAGAGAAGATCAATAGATACGGTTATGTTACCCCACCTGCATTTAATGGATTAAAAGTTCCAATCAAGCGTATTGTCATTGGTCCGACTCATATAGCCTTACTTACAGAAGACAATAGAATCTGTCGTGTCGCATTTACAGTATTGTCTGATCGACTGGACTTAAGTAAAACTGAACCGAACAGAAAGTATGTATCGTGTTATTATATATTTAATGAATTAGATGAATTATTTAATATAAAATGAACTCTTTTTGAAACTGATATTCTGTACACATTATGCTATTTCAGTACAACTAAAAACCATGTTGGGAATTCGAATTCCACTCCTAGTGGTAGTGGAAACAGTGGAAGTGGTAGCAGAGCAGGTATCTCACGATCAAGGGCAAGGATTATGAGAAGCAGTTCTGCCATTCGGGGTGGTAGTAATAGTGGAAGTAGCGGTAGCAGTGGAAGAATAGGACCTCCTGGAGTGATCATGGGAAGCGGAAGTGGTAACAGTTCACGTCCTATTGCTTCAGTTCCTGCTCCATTTGTACCAGAAGATCTAATATCTCAAGCTCAAGTAGTATTGCAAGGAAAAAGTCGCAATTTAATTATCAGAGAATTGCAGGTTATTTATTTGACTATTTAATTATCAATAATCTTATGTATTAATTAAATTAAATTATATAAATGACATATTTGTTTTTTTGCTTTTTTTTTTTTACAGCGTACTAATTTAGATGTGAACTTAGCTGTGAATAATCTATTGTCACGTGATGATGAAGAAGGGGATGATGCAGATGATGCAGCAGATAGTTATGTACCAGAAGATCTTATCTCTTTATTAGATGGAGGCTTTAGTAATAATGATCATTCTGTTATAATCGATGCAGACTCTATGTTTTCTGAAGATATGTTTGGATATGCAGGCATACGACAGTAATAAATTCATTAGAATTCTAATTCAATTGATATATAGATATTAAAACGTAGATATTTAGTTGATATTATATTTTTTGCAGCCGTGGAAGTTCTTCTAGAAGACTTGGTAATGACAGAGAAGGAGAACGATCATCTGAACGTGATAGAGACCGTGATAGTTTTAGCAGATGGAGGGATCGTCAATATTACGGACCACGACGTTGGTTAGAAACTGCTCTGAAAGATTCTTGGGAGAAAGATCCTGGTAAATATATTTTGATAGGCATATATACACTAGGTTTTAAATGTTGATAGATAAATGTATACAAATAATTTTGATTTCATTTTATATTTATAGAAAACAAGAAAAAAGAATTAGCTTCTTTAAGTCCTTTATGGATATCAGAAGAACTTGAGTGGTGGCACGAACGTAGTAATGAAGCTGCTCCACGTTTTGTTCAAATTGCTGCTCTCTACAGCGAATTAATAGCTGTTTCCACTTCTGGACAATTGTACCAATGGAAATGGTCTGATCCAGAACCTTACAAACATGTAGAGGTACCTATAATTGTATATACACGTATTAATTTATAAGTTATGCAAAGAAATACGATACAAATAATATAATTTTCCATTTTTAGAATCCAAATGTTCATCATCCGAAAACTATACCATTAGCATTATTAACAGAAAAAATAGTTAATATCTCAGCAACAGCAATTCGCTGTTCTGTTAGCACAGAAAGTGGCAAGGTAGCTACTTGGTTAGACGAACTTTTGGGTCATGTTGCTTCTCGTTTGGAACATCCAGCACAAGCTTTTACTGAATTTACATTGGATAAAATTGTATCACTTCATACGTGTGCTTTATATACTGTAGCAAAACTTGAAAGTGGTGCATTGTATTGGTGGTTAGTATCATTATACGTTTTGTAAATAATTATTTAATTTATTACAAAATTACAATTAACTATTTATTTCTATTTTTTGTAAATAGGGGAGTTTTGCCATTTTCTCAACGTAAAAAGTTGTGGGAGAAATATAAAGCAAAATCACGCAAACATAGACCATCTGCAGTGGTATCAAATGACATTAGTTACGGTACACATGTTTGCATGAAAAATAGTCCGATGTATCAACCTGGTGCAATAGGTAAATTATTTTATTAATAGTTTTTTTTTTTTTTTTTTTTTATCCATTGTGCAATACTCTATTTCTATTCTAGAATCGATATAATATATATTATATATTTTCATAAAATATGTTTTTCTCTTTTCTAGGATTTACAATAGCTAACGGAGTACCAAAAGTAGGACAACTATTAACAGCTGCTTGGAGTTTAGATGTCATTTGCAGATTTAAAATCTTACCTGCTGGATCACATTTACCTAATACAAATTTTGATAAACGTGAATCAAATGGAAATGGAAATGCCTCTATAAATAAGTCAAATCATAAAGAAACAGCTGATCGTCTTGATATGCCACCACCTCCTTCTCCTGCTTCTAGCACATGTAGCGATACTGGTAGCATTACAACGAGTCATAAGAGACAGAAACGTTTAACCCCTAGAAGTGAAGGAGAACCCGAGCGAAAGGATGAAGAAGATTGGCAGTTAAAAGATGTGATATTTGTAGAAGATGTTAAAACCGTTCCTATCGGGAAAGTCATTAAAGTCGACGGTTGTTACGTAGCAGTTAAGTTCTTTTCAAAAGATTCAAAGGAAAAGGAGAAAGAAACTAAAGAGAAAGATTTCAGTACATCTGATTTTAAAGATTTGACAGCTGAGGAATTGATCAAATTATTAGCAGACTGTAGACTACTAAGGAAAGATGAATTACAAGTTATTAAATCGTCGATGAATCCAAGAGCACCCGATTGTTTCCAACGTACACC